CACATTTTTTTTTCGGTAATCATCCTCTGAGGAAGAAATAAAAAAACAACTTTTGACTTATAAAGTATAGGTACTGGTATGATTTGTCAAATTAGCAAAATGATGTGAAACCTTGATAGTTTGATAACAATACAATTTAATTTAATGATAAGTTAATTGACATGTTTTTTTTTCAGCTTATTACTGTTAATTCACAATGCAAAATTAAAATATCACAGAAAAACAACAGGAGATAGGATCTTAGGCAAATCTAACAATCACATTTTCCCTTAGAGGGAGATCACCTATTTTTGAACTTAAAAAGTTTGTTGACGTCATATAATAATAGTAAAAAGTTGGATTTCCTTTACATTGTTTAAAGTGGAGGTAGACCTAAGCTAAGGGAGATAACTCTATAAAATCATTGATATGTTTGTGTCGACCAATTTTATAACAACATACTAAGCTTCTAAGTAACACAGATTATTTTAATTCTGGATCACACACATGCTTTAAATGCACTAATAAATAAAATTGGTTATTACAAACGCATTACAGATCTTATGAGTTATCTCCCTTGACATATGTCTGGCCTCTTTTTAAAAGAACAAAGAATGTTTAATCAATTTTAATAAAACTCATTGAAAAACTGGATAAACAAATAACCATAGTGTAGAAGATAACAATTGAAATACACAAACTGACCATACAGCTTTTACAATTTATATATTAACCAACTATCATGAATATATTGCAACTGGTCAGTTTATTTTAAATTTTTATAAGGGAGCTACCATTTGATTTTTATGGTGGTGGTGTTGGGGGGGGCTAGGATGAAAAATTTTGTCCTGTATATTTTTTTAGTTGTAATCTCTGTCCTGCCTTTTTATTTTTCACTCTATTCGGTCCTGCCTTTTTTTATTAGTTTATCCTGACTTTTTTTACATAAATTGTCATCCTGTCTTTTTTTTTTGCTAAGTTGCTCATCCTGACTTTTTTTTTTTTACTCAAAAACTCCTGTCCTGCCTTTTTTTCAAATTTCATCCTAGCCCCCCCCACCCCCCCCACCGAAAAATCAAATGGTAGCTCCCTTATCTAATTAAAAATGTCTGGTAATGGAATCAATAATGTTCATGTGATGGAGGTCAATGTAAGTAATTTCCCTTTTAATTTTTCTGAGCAATTTATGTGTCAACATCTGACAAGTTCTATATAAGTTTTTATATAATCAAAATGGAACTGACTCATTGATTCATCTCTACAATTTGTTATATTCATTAAAAGCATTATCTATTTGTTAAATAGGGTCCCTTTATTTCACAAACAGAATCTCAAATTAATGGGAAGCCCAAAATTTGATGATAGGATACTTAAACAACTTATCAATTATCACTATTATCAAGTGGTGCTGTTTTTATAACTATTTAATTGCATGTTGCATGCCTTGTTTTATTTGTTATTGTATATGTTTTTATATTCAATGAAAAACTCATCAAAGCTTACGTTTAAATTGTAGGTCATTATGCCGAATCAAAATAAAGTTTTACTTACTAACTTACTATTGGAAGTTTCATAATTGAAATTTATATATGCCTGCATCTTTAACATAGCTAAAAAATATTGAATTATTTTTTACTTTAGAAATTTTTATTAGTTTTTACTTTTACAGTTGATTTCTGTTAACAAGAGGACAAGTCAGAATAGGTTCAATATAAATTCTTAACATATCAAAAACTATCATTAACATCGAAGGTTCTTTACAGATCTCCTATTAAAGCATGCAAAGCAAACCTTTGATCAACTTGCTTGCTATGTTTGTTTGGATGTTTGTAAACAAAAGGTAGGTAGTCTGTTTCAGTCTGTTTACTATATACTGGAATTTGATTGGACAATAAACATTAACTTCATTGCATGTCAATTTTTATTGTCTAATCAAATTCCAGTATATACAAAACAGACTGAAACTCCGCCTACCTATTGTTTGCAAACATCCAAGCAAACATAGCAAGCAAGTTGATCAAAGGTTTGCTTTGCATGCTTTTATAGAAGAGCTGTAAAAGGAATGTTCACTATTAGTCACAATGGAATTCTATAACAAATAACTACTTTTCTTGCAAAAATTTCAATTTACATAATTTACTTCAAATCTAAACAATATACTATTGTATGTACATAACAATCTATATTTCTTACATATTAGTACATATATACTCTTCTGTCAAATCTTTATAATTATATTGTACAATGTATATATATAAATATATGTGTAAATCTGTACAACATTATAGATTTTTCAAAACAAAATCTGTCTGAATTATGTTGCAAAGTTATTACAAATCTTTCTTTTAGTCTACATAAGCTTTACATGAGTTGGATAATGTTTTTGTAACCCCACATTGATTTAATTGTTTCATGTAATTTCCAACCAAAAATATTTGGAACTTTCGTAATCCGTACTAGAATTTTTCATTAAATCTTTAAAGAAACAGATTCTATAACATACCAGCTATTAATTGTGATGTTCAGGCCCATAGCCAGGAATTCTCAAGGGGAGGGTTATTTCGACTCGCAACAAACAAAATCTCAATTTTAATAGTCACAGTTCAAACAGAACGTCGACTTACATAGTGCTTATTTGTTTTCAAAGGGGGGGTTGTACGAACCCATCATACCCCCTTGGCCTGATGTTTATCAACTCTTGGTAGTCAAATATCAAACTTTTGAGTAAACTACTGTGGATTCATTAATATTCGTGGGATACAGATTTTTTGTGGATTCCGTGGGTATAGGTAAACCACGATTTATGATGTGCAACGAAGTGCAAATTATCTATAGGATTGTCTGCAGACTTTTACAAAACCTCAACACTACAATTTTTCCTCAATCCACAAAAATTGGTAGTCAACATGCTTAAGAAAATAATTGTATCTGCAGTATCTTAAATGGATACAAATGATACATGTCTCTTTATACCGCATGTCTGACGATACCCTGAGAGTGGTAATGTGATACCTTGAGGGTTGCTAACTGTGGGCAGGTGAAAACGACCTTATCTGCCAGATTTGTATAGTACATAAATATTCTTCAGCAATTTTAAAACCAAACACCAGTTTAATCTGTTCAATAAAAGCATACACTGGACCCAGGGAAAGCACATTGAGATCAAATGAGTGGTTGTCAAATACATTATAGTATAGTGAAAATGTACAAGAAATTCATAAATTGCCTCTATATTTTCCTAGTGAAGTGCCTGTGCCTTCCCTGGGTACCATATCATGTTTAAATCAAATAGCCCTGATATATTTTAGTCACAATGGGTTTCCACTAAGTTTAGGTGTATATTTGATGTAGCCATTTCTTGATCTTTCATGCACAATAGAATTATACAGTACTTCTGCATATGTTAATAATTAAACTATTTACAGTTCCTGATACAAACAAATCAATCTGTCTTGCAGTGATGAAAACCAATTTCACTTACTAAAGGGAAATAACTCTTTCCCTTACGAAAGGGATATAACTCATGTCAAAACTTGTTGGCATCAAAGTCCTGAAGATATATACAATAAAAGAGATCTGATATCATCTGAATGAAATATCTTTTGCTATGTACACTTTCTATTTACAGAAAACATTCTTGTTTAAATTCTTAACACATTAACAACAAACAAAAACAATGACAGCACTAAGATGTAAGGTTTATTCCATTAAAATGTATATTGGAGGGTAGGAAAAGAAGTATTTAAAAAAAGGCATTTAAGAAAGTTTGATGGTTGGGAGGGAATTTTGAAAGTCCCTTCATATTCTTCAACATCCAATTTAATGGAATAACCCTCATAACAATATTTCTAAGTTCTCATCATCTTTTCAACTGCAATTTTTGTTATTTCATAATTTCAAGATTAAAGAAGAAAACTTTCCTTTTAAGCTACAATAGTTAAATCCACCCACTTCAGTCTTCACAAAAAAAACTAGAGGCTCTCAAGAGCCTGTGTCGCTCACCTGTATTTACTGATGCTTTGGAAATCATGTAAAATAAGGTTAAAATCATAATTAATAGTATTAGATATTAGATATTATAATGATATCTAAGATAATAACAAAAAACTGCAAAGTTTTTGTAAAATTACTAACTCAGGGGCAGCAACCCAACAACAGGTTGTCGGATTCGTCTGAAAATTTCAGGGCAGATAAATCTAAATCTGATGAACTTTTTTGCCACCTATCAGATTTGCTCTAAATGCTTTAGTTTCAGAGATATAAACCAAAAACTGCATTTTACCCCAATGTTCAATTTTTAACCAAGTCGGCCATGATGGTTGGAAGGTGGGGACATCGGACAAATTTTTTAAAGTAGATACCCTAATAATGATTATGGCCAAGTATGGTTATATTTGTCTCAGTAGTTTCAGAGAAGAAGATTTTTGTAAAAGATTACAAAAATTTACAAAAAATTGTTAAAAATTGACTATTAAGGGCAATAACTCCTAAAGGGGTCGACTGACAATTTTGGTCATGACAACTTATTTGTAGATCTTAATTTGCTGAACATAATTGCTGTTTACAGTTTATCTCTATCTATAATAATATTCAAGATAATAACCAAAAACTGCAAAATTTCCTTAAAATTACCAATTCAGGGGCAGCAACCCAACAACCGGTTGTCAGATTTGTCTGAAAATTTTGGAGCAGATAGATCTTGACCTGATAATCAGTTTTACTCTATGTCAGATTTACTCTAAATGCTTTGGTTTCAGAGATATAAGCCAAAATCTACATTTTACCCCTATGTTCTATTTTTAGCCATGGCGGCCATCTTGGTTGGTTGGTGGGGTCATCGGACACATTTTTTAAACAAGATACCCTAACAATGATTGTGGCCAGGTTTGGTTAAATTTGGCCCAGTGGTTTCAGAGGAGAAGATTTTTGTAAAAAGCTAACGACGACGGACGACGACGGACGACGGACGCCAAGTGATGAGAAAAGCTCACTTGGCCCTTCGGGCCAGGTGAGCTAAAAAAAGGATGAAAATCTAGAAATAATTTTACTTATAGCTATAAATTCATGATCTATATTATATGTATTTAATACACAATAAGATAAATAATCCTTTTATGGCTTAAGGTAGCCGTATAATTATTCCATAAATTCATCTATTCATAATAGCATTTACAATTACATTGCACATAACAGTTTGATTAAAATAATGAAATTATAGAATCTCATATGAAAATCCAATTGAAAAATATCAACAAATGTTTTGCTACCAAGCTTATTTTTAGCCCCCACCCAGTTTTTTTTTCTTCCATTGGAATCAAATATAAAATTTTCTGAAACTCTTTTTTTTTTAAATATAGTAATAATGATATAAACATGAAAAACAAATGTTATAATGAGACTTTGTTCCATGTGGAGAATGGATTTCAAAACAAATTTTGCAATATTATATACTTAATATCATATTTAATATAAATCATATTCAGTGACATTTGAACTATATGCACATTGCAATAAATGTAAATAATATAATGCTAAAAATTGTGGTTACATGCAGCGTTATTCTTCCATGTATACTTTATTTTATAATTGACGTGTACACAAAATGCAAGTTTTTTACATTGTGGTTCTTCCTGTTTTTTTTTTTGTCCAACACCAGCACTATCCCCTACATTTGAGCTGCGTCTGATAGAAATCGACCTTATGCGAGTGCACATATTCATGTACATGTGTAAGACTGTGCTTGATTTCGAATATTCAAATATGAAATAAGAGATGAATGTTGGACTGTTTTGTAGGGTTCTTATAACAACTCAATTTTCAAGCAGTTCTAGATTTTGCATTGAGGTTTTTCAACCCGAAATAGGTTAACAGCTGTATTGATATTCATTTGCATAAGGTCGATTTCTATTCGACACAGCTCATTTTTTAAAATAACATCTGCTACAGATTTAAATCCTGTCTTCACTATGAGACAATAAAAACAGTACAAAAGACACTTAAAAATTATGAAAAAAATCATACTGAAATGTGTCCAATTAAATAGCGTAGATGCTTTTTTTATACTACAATAAATGGTGTGGTCCATTAACAGGTGACGTAGGTGTGCTCTGGTTTTGCTGTGATCGTAGTTTTATCCTTGTATGCGGTTTTGTTAGGCACCATAACAAGTCCCTGTACTGCCCTGGCCAAGTATAAACATAAGTGTGTTGCAGCCATTGTGGAATGTCAACTTCAGTGCAACCCTCAAACAAAAGGGGAATAACTCTTGAATTTTTATTTCCGTTCTGCTTAAGTTCAGCCAACATTAGGCTATAAATATACTGAATGTGTAGTTCCTTATCGTCTATTTGACTTTCACATTCAAACATATCAATTTCTGTTTTGTACTGCTCTGACACACACATGAGAATGAAATCTGCCTGTGAAAATAAAAGATTTTAAACATTAATCATTTGCAAACCACTTTTTGTTGTAAAAATCATGTAATTTCAACGAAAAAATTGTTTATTTTGTTAGCATTTTCTATATTTAAATATTCCTTATTGAATACTTAATTTCAAAAAGCCTTGATTTGTAGTTTCTTAGAAAAATATGATGAAAAGTTTATACATGGCCATTATGTATAGAAAAAAATAAGTATTTGGTTAACAGGAAGTTCATGAGCAATGAATATGAAAATGCCTCACACAGAATAGCATGCCAAGTATAAAGATTGATACCAAATTTCAGGAAGGTCTGATTTGTAGTTCCTGGGAAAAATGCAACCGAAATATTATGTGACAGATGGACAGACAGATGTAAACCAGTATTAACTCCTCTTTTTTGTGCTGGGGTATGACAGACATTACATCAATTTGGATTATTAAACCATAATTATGTAGATATAGGTTCTTGCTTATGTGGTTACCACTGTTAATATTTTGGTGAATATCCTATATACATGTCTGTTATGTCTGTTACAATAGAAACAACTTTGCTCAAAAATATAATTTAAAATGGCTGTATCCCATGTCAATTACTATGAATATGTTACAGAAATAGTACTAGACTGACTAATCAACATATTGGATTTAAAAAAAAATAAATGGGAAATGTGTCCATGGTACACAGATGGTGTCCCCGCTTGCATATAACATTATAAAGGGCCATAACTCAAGAACTGTAAAAGTGACACTACCCAAATTTGAACTTGATCTGTATTTTGTGGTACGGTAATAAGCATTGTTTAACATTTAGTTGACGTAAACTTAAATTAGAGAACAGAAACCAAAAATTCAGCAATTTTTTCATTTTTAAAGGGGCATAACTCTAGAACAGTAGACGTGACGCCACCAAAATTCAATCTTTATCTGTGTTTTGTGGTAATTAGCATTGTGCATAAGTTTCATAACATTTGGTTGAGGCAAACTAAAGTTAGAGAACGCAAACCAATTTTGGGACGTTCGGACAGACGGACATACAGACGTACAGATGGACAAGGGTAAAACTTAATGCCCCCTCCGCTACGGTGGGAGCATAAAAAATTTCTTTTGTTTTTTCTGTATCATCGAGATATGTCCCCCATATTCCCTTTTATCCATACTGATAGAAGAAATTTGGTAAAAGGCAGAGTAAAAATGTCCCTGGTTACCTCTATAATGAATACATACCTCATTGAACCGATGAGCACACCATTCCTGTCTGTTTAACATCTGTTCCTGTGGCATTCTTTTGTCAAACATATCCATACAGCAAGTGAAACCATTTTTCTCCAGACATCTACACAAGTTTAACACTTTTTGTATGTGTTTTTTACTGTCGCCAGCATATGTTACAAATACCCTGATATGTTTGAAAGCTACAATAGAAACAACAAATGAAACTGCGAGCTACTGCTCACTGATGATACCCCCACCCCAAACACTTGACGGTAAACAGGAAGTTGTTCAGTGATGAATCTGAAAACGCATCACACGGTAGAGCTGACTTATATAAACACTGAAATCAAATTTCAGAAATCCTTGTAATGTAGTTCCTGAGAAAAATGTGACGAAAATTTTCAACTTGGATGTGTTGTGTAAAATGAGTGTTCGGTAAACAGGAAGTTGTTGAGTGATCAATCTGAAAACGCATCACACTGTATAGCTGACTTATATAAAACCTGAAACCAAATTTCAGAAATCCTTGTATTGTAGTTCCTGAGAAAGATGTGACGAAAAATTTTCATAGGACGGATGGACGGATGGATGGACGGACAGATGGATGGAAGGACAGACAGATGTAATATTTCCAAGGGAAACTCGTTTAAAATATTAGATCAGCACTTATTTTTGAAATTGTCTGAGACATTGCAGTTATATACCTTTGATAGGAATTTTATAAAAATCTGGCAAAAATTATACATGCGAGAGCACTTACAATGCAATTTTCCATTAAATTCAATTTTTCAAAGGGGCATAACTCTTTTAAAAATAATTGATTGGCACTGATTTTCGAACTCATCCAAGACATTGGTAATATTAACCTATGATATAAGTTTCATAAAAATCTGACAAGAATTGTACAAATGAGAGCGCAGGGGACAATAACAAGAGGCTCTCAAGAGCCTGAATCGCTCACCTGTATTTCAGAGGAGAAGATTTTTAAATGTTAGCAAACTTGATGAACAAATTGTGTAAAATTGTCTTTAAAGGGCAATAACTCCTTAAGGGGTCAATTGACAATTATGGTCATATTAACTTTTTTGTAGATCTTACTTTGCTGAACACTATTGCTGCTTACAGTTTATATATATCTATAATAATATTCAAAATAATAACAAAAAACTGCAAAATTTTGTTAAAACTACCAATTCGGTGGCAGAAACCCAACAATGGGTTGTTCGATTTGTCTGATAATTTCAGGGCCAATAGATCTTGACCAATTTAACAATGTTACCCCATGTCACATTTGCTCTAAAAGATTTAGTTTTTGAGATATAAGCTTAAAACTGCATTTGACCCTTAAGTTCTATTTTTAGCCATGGCGGCCATGTTTGTCAAAGGATACAAACTTCGGATACAATTTATAAACAAGATACCCTAAGGAACATTTAGTTAAAGTTTGAAGGTAATTGGCCCAGTAGTTTCAGAGGAGAAGATTTTTAAATGTTAGCAAACTTAAGCTTGATGAACAAATTGTGTAAAATTGGTTTTAAAGGGCAATAACTCCTTAAGGGGTCAATTGACGATTATGGTCATTTAACTTTTTTGTAGATCTTACTTTGCTGATCATTATTGCTGCTTACAGTTTATATATATCTATAATAATATTCAAAATAATAACAAAAAACTGCAAAATTTTGTTAAAACTACCAATTCGGTGGCAGCAACCCAACAATGGGTTGTTCCATTCGTCTGAAAATTTCAGAGCTGATAGATCTTGACCAATTGAACAATTTTACCCCATGTCACATTTGCTCTAAAAGTTTAGTTTTTGAGATATAGCCAAAAACTGCATTTGACCCCTATGTTCTATTTTTAGCCATGGCGGCCATGTTTGTCGATGGATCAAAACTTCCGCTACAATTTATAAACTAGATACCCTAAGGAACATTTAGTTAAAGTTTGAAGGTATTTGGCTCAGTAGTTTCAGAGGAGAAGATTTTTTAAATAGTTTACGACGACAGACGAGGACGACGACGACAGACGACGGACGACAACGGATGCCAAGTGATGGCATAAGCTACATGGGGCCCTTCGGGCCGGGGTGAGCTAAAAACCTCACAATAATTTCTGTATTTACAGTAACTGAAATTGAATACCCTTTATTATTCCCATACAATGAAATGTTACTTTATTGCTACATTAAAAATGACTGAATAATATTTAGATGTATCTGATCATTGCTGATATCAAGGTCTCACTACATGTTTCAGAAAAAAAAAGAAATCTGAACTATGAAAATGAGGTCAAGGTCCAGCAAGATGATGATGGATGGCTGTTTAATGTACAGAAGAAAATCAATTGAATATTAAGGACAAAAATATGTTATTGTGATATGAATATAACGATGAACCTGATCTTTTAACGTGCTAGTTAACAAGGTAACAATCCGTAGGAAGACATGACAACCTACACAGACATGTCATTCTGACTACGAGCTGACGAGTCTTTTCTCTAACTCCTAGATCTGTGTGCTTAGCCGAGAAGCAGCAAATACCAATTTACTAGTCTTTGGGTTGACCCAGCCGAGAATCTAACCCACAGCCCCTTGCATTTGAGACAAGCATACTACCACAAAACCACCTTGACTTATTAAAAAAACAAAATTTAAACTTGATCTGTATTTTGTGGTAATAAGCATTGTGTATAAGTTTCATAACATTTGGTTGAGGCAAACTAAAGTAAGAGAACGGAAACGAAAAATTCAGCAATTTTTCCATTTGTAAAGGGGCATAACTCTAGAACCGTAAAAGTGACGACACCAAAATTCAAACTTGATCTGTGTTTTGTGGTAATAAGCATTGTGTATAAGTTTCATAACATTTGGTTGAGGCAAACTTATGTTAGAGAACGGAAACCAATGTAGGGACGTACGTACGTACAGACGGACAAGGGTAAAACTTAATGCCACCTCCGCTACGTTGGGGGCATAACAACAATCATCCAATCAATTTCAATCCATGAAAATGAGTACACACACAAAATAATTGAATCCACAGTACATACGTAGCATTTTATTACTTGCATTTGTAAAGGTGCAACACCTCTAATTTTGGCCTGGTCAGAAAGCATATACATGTACAAGAAAGTAGTACATATTTAACACAAAATAGTTCCTACGCATGGTTGTAACTTTCAAAATATGTAGAATATTTTGGTAATTTTGGTATCCAATGAAAGCTGAATGACTGGTGATCATTGTAGAACACTTTTTGACTTATAATTTTGAACAATAAAAAAATTGCATGAAATTTAAAAAAGAAGGGTACATTTTGCCTGTTTGTCAGATTTGAAGTACCCTGTTTTGGTACATCCAAAGTTCTTGGAACCAGTTCTCTTTTATATTCAATTAAAGGCATGTTGATTTTTTCAGTACAAGACACCACAAGGTGTAACTTTGACATGCATTGATTGTCACTTTTTTTTAACTTAAGACAAAACAGCTGCGCCTGCTTGAAATTGAGGAATTTAACATACAGTCAGGGGTAATACTTATACAAGTCATTTTTATTAACTTGAAGATGTAAGTAATACATACTTGTATAAGTAATTCTGTAAGATTTTTATTTTATTTTCCCGATTCGAATTATCTCCCCTTAATCTTCTCTAAGAATTTACTTGTACATGCAAGTAATTTTTTTTTACAACCCCTTAAATTCTAAAGTTTTGGGAGGTCAAAACATGCCTTAACAGAATTTTTCTGGTTTGCTTATTAATTTTCAACCTTTTATCTCAAGAACTAAGCAAAGAAATCTATTGTGCAAAGATGTTACGTAACTGTGCAAGGCCTTCAAACTGCTCCCTGGAGGCTTGTAAATTTTGCATTATTTTGAAGATAACACACAAATGAGATTTTTATTGTCCATGAAATTATACTTTTGTGAATAGTAAAGACAACTATTAATGACAGACAATTTAACACTCTATTATAGCAATGTAGTCAAGAGAAATTCAAGAGTAGAAGAAAATAAGACTTTTTATTTATATATTAAGGAAAAAATATCTGAATGTTTAAGGGATATAGCATTACCTCCAAAACACTTGTACTGACATAGAAAGCAATGGGGCCATGAATTAGTCATTAGCACCTATACTTGAGTGTATACAAAATAGAATAAAATGCTTCGCTGGGGCGCAGCTTGATACGACTGCAGAGGTCGAACCCTGAACAGTTGGGGCAAGTATGGACACAACATTCAAGCTTGATACAGCTCTGAATTTGGATTGTTATTAAATATTTGACACAGCATAGGTTTCTGACACAGAAAGAATGTGGTCTAAGAACTTGAATTTTTTTAATTTACCTATTATGGTCCAATGTCCAAAATCAAAATACATGGTTAGATTCAGCATATCAAAGAACCCCATATATTCAATTTTTGTTAAAATCAAACAAAGTTTAATTTTGGACCCCAACTTGGACAAACTTGAAAACTGGGCCCATAATCAAAAATCTAAACACATGTTTAGATTCAGCATATCAAAGAACCCCAAGAATTCAATTTTTGCTAAAATCAAACTAAGTTTAATTTTGGACCCTTTGGACCTTAATGTAGACCAATTTAAAAAACGGGACTTAAAATTAAAAATCTAAATACACGGTTAGATTTGGAATATCAAAGAACCCCAATAATTCAATTTTTGATGAAATCAAACAAAGTTTAATTTTGGACCCTTTTGACCTCAATATGAACCAATTTGATAGCAGCGCCCACAAATAAAATATCTAAATTCATGGTTAGATTCAGCATATCAAAGAACCCCATATATTCAATTTTTGTTGAAATCAAAAAAAGTTTAATTTTGGACCCCAACTTGGACCAACTTGAAAACTGGGCCCATAATCAAAAATCTAAACACATGTTTAGATTCAGCATATCAAAGAACCCCAAGAATTCAATTTTTGTTAAAATCAAACTAAGTTTAATTTTGGACCCTTTGGACCTCAATGACGACCAATTTAAAAAACAGGACCCAAATTAAAAATCTAAAAACACGGTTAGATTTGGCATATCAAAGAACCCCAATAATTCAATTTTCGATGAAATCAAACAAAGTTTAATTTTGGACCCTTTTGACCTCAATATGAACCAATTTGATAGCGGGGCCTACAAATAAAAAATCTAAATACATGGTTAGATTCAGCATATCAAAGAACCTCATATATTCAATTTTTGTTGAAATCAAACAAAGTTTAATTTTGGACCCCAATTTGGACCAACTTGAAAACTGGGCCCATAATCAAAAATCTAAATACATGTTTAGATTCAGCATATCAAAGAACCCCATATATTCAATTTTTGTTAAAATCAAACAAAGTTTAAATACTGGACCCTATCTTGGACCAACTTGAAAACTGGGCCCATAATCAAAAATCTAAACACATGTTTAGATTCAGCAAATCAAAGAACCCCAAGAATTCAATTTTTGTCAAAATCAAACTAAGTTTAATTTTGGACCCTTTGGACCTCAATGTAGACCAATTTAAAAAACAGGACCCAAAATTAAAAACCTAAATACACGGTTAGATTTGGAATATCAAAGAACCCCAATAATTCAATTTTAGATGAAATCAAACAAAGTTTAATTTTGGACCCTTTTGACCTCAATATGAACCAATTAGATAACGGGGTCCACAAATAAAAAATCTAAATACATGGTTAGATTCAGCATATCAAAGAACCCCATATATTCAATTTTTGTTGAAATCAAACAAAGTTTAATTTTGGACCCCAATTTGGACCAACTTGAAAACTGGGCCAAAAATCAAAAATCTAAATACATGTTTAGATTCAGCATATCAAAGAACCTCACATATTCAATTTTTGCTAAAATCAAACAAAGTTTAATTTTGGACCCTTTGGACATTAATGTAGACCAATTTGAAAACTGGACCCAAAATTAAAAATCTAAATACACTGTTAGATTCAGCATAACAAATTAATAAATGTGATCAAAGATTTTACAAATCTAATGCGCCATACTGTGCAATTAAAGATTACTTCTTGAAATTTTTCAATATTTGAAATTTGAAAAAAAAATAATATTTGAAGAATAATTCTTTTTAATTTCTGAAATCTGAAATGAGAAAAAATTGGCCCCCCACAATTTCTTTTTATCCCCCCCCCCTTTTTCGCCCAAAAAAATTCTTTCCCTCAAGATATGGTCATAATCTCAATTCAAATTTCCAATGGAGTTGGCAACCATAATTACCCATTTAAATTTACCATAGTGCTAACTTAATCTATTTTATAATAGAATTAATAAAAATATAGTGTCAAATCTTTCATATGGATTTTTTTGTAAAAAAAAAAAGATGAAAACATTTGCAGATATTTTTACTGGTCTTCCTTTATAAATATGCATTTCTTTAAACATAATTTAAAAGCAGTGTAAGGGAAGTAACCAAAACGTTGTATTTGGATTACCTCCCTTACACTGTTTTAGATTATCTTTATTGTTCATTAACCATTACTTTATACATAATTTAAAAGCAGTGTAAGGGAGATAATTTCAATGATGTATTTGATTTATCTCCCTTACACTGCTTTAAATTATGTTTTGTACTAAAGTATTTGTCCATTAACCAGGACAACCTTGTTTTTCCCCCTTTTTTGCCCCTAATTCCTAAACGGTTTGAGCCATAACCCCCCAAAGCAAATCCTAACCATCCCTTTGTGGTATGGAAACTTGTAGTATAATTTCAGAGAGATCCATACACCGTTCCACAGTTATTGTCTGGAAACTAGAAAATGCTCATTTTTGGCCCCTTGTTGGCCCCTAATTCCTTAACTGTTGGTACCATTACCCCCAAAATCAATCCCAACCTTCCTTTTGTGGTATTTAACCTTATGGTCAAATTTCAAAAAGATCCATTCACTTAAACTAAAGTTAGAGTGCGAAAACCAATATGTATTCGGACGACGACGCCGGACGACGACGACGACGCCAACGTCATACCAATATACGACCACAAAATTTTTTTGCGGTCGTATAAAAACAGATGAGTTTGACTGTTTTGTTAAGTTATTCATGAAATCCCTACATTGTACTACCTTTTTGAAAGAGAAACAGTACTTATTGTTAGCCAATCAAATATGGGAAAGTTAACAAAATGATTACTGAAAAACCTGTTTGGCCAGTGTGTTACTATATTAAAAGTAGCCATTAAGCTCAAGCCGGTGCTGGGGGATGTCTTAAACTTGCAGTGAGGCGAGTTTTTTTGCTCCGTGTTGAAGGCCTCACTGTGACTTTGAGATGAACAGCAATAAAAGCGCTGTTCCTTTGCTTTTCGTGTGTTTTTTGCTGTGCATATACTGATTTTGTGACCCCATATCCTTTGTTTTTCTATTAAACCTAATTTTCTTGCATAAGTACACTCTCAAGTAAATCAGCTTCAACATATTTACAATACTTTAACATGTTTAAACAGTTCATACCTTTTCTATATTCTGCTGGTTTCATATCATTAGGAACAGACACTGAATATTTCAGTATAGATGGTCTGTCCTTTGGGGGCAAGGAAGGGTGAGAGAATTGTCGGCTGCGTAGTGGAAATGTCCGAGATTCCTCACGTTCCATCCTTCTCTGTGGCACTTGCTGTCCATTTACCTGATAACTATTTAGATGGAAATCAAGTATATGTTGTCCATTTTGATATGGAGATTTATGATTCGCACTCACAGGAGGTGGGACTTTAAAGGTTGGATCTTTGTTCTGACCTCGTCTTTCCTGATCATATTCTTGTTGATTTTTCTCTTGCATCAAATTGTTATAAACGGTGCCTGGCATATATAGGTTTGAGTTAGTAAAATGGTCAAGTTGAGCAAGTGGGATAGATCCTCCTGAGCCTGAAGCTGGACTTGGACTGGGACTGGCGAATTCCCCTCTTGATATATTTAATCGCAGGTCCAATCGTTTCGGATGTATCGGGGGACTTTCCCCCTCTTGATCCTCCATGCGATTAGTGTTCAAAGGTCTCTTAATGATATTACGATAATGATGTTCCCGCTGAATACCTGCTGCAAGCGGCTGTCCTTCTTCAGGTGGATAATCATCAGACAACATTTCAACGTCTGCTGAAGAATATGTGTCACTAGGATCTACATGAACGATTTTTGATGCACTTTCCTGAATGCGTAAAGTAGGATATGTGTCCGTAGGGCTTCTACAATTGTTTGTATAAGATGATGAAGTAACATTATAATCCTTGGTCTGATTGCTTGACCGTGAAGCAGCTGTGTCCCCATTTCTTGACAAGTCATTATATACCATTGATTGGTATGGGGACGTACTGTTCAGATGATAGCGTGAATGGGCATAATTAGGTGGATTACAGTGTGCTGGTGGTGGTGTGGGGTAACGTGCTTGCCGTAGGTAACCTAAACTTTCATGACGGGTACTTTGTTCATAGCAAGAGTTCTGACTTGGCATTCTGTGCCGCTGCATTTCGTTTATGCTAACTCTATATTTTTCACGGATATCTGACAAAGAAAAAAGACAAAAATTACATTAAAGAAAAGTCCTTGAAACTATGTTTCCATGAAAGAAATATGTATAGTTAATTTTTTAAATATCATTCATCATGAATATTTTATATTTAAAAAATAATGTACTTATGATAATGATATTGTATATATTTTACATTGCATTATATTGTAAGGATATGGATGTCATGTATATGCTTTAATTGTTTGAATTAAAAAAATTAATAAAATGCTCCGCAGGGCGCAGCTTGATACGACCGCAGAGGTCGAACCCTGAACAGTTGGGGCAAGTATGGACACAACATTCAAGCTTGATACAGCTTTGCATTTGGATTGTGATTAAATATTTGACACAGCATAGGTTTCTAACACAGAATGAATGTGGTCTAAGAACTTAAAAATTTTAAATTGGACATTCACCTATTATGGTCCAATATCCAAAATCTAAATACATGGTTAGATTCAGCATATCAAAGAACCCCAAGAATTCAATTTTTGATGAAATCAAACAAAGTTTAATTTTGGACCCTTTTGACCTCAATGTGGATAAAGTTGATAACGGGGCCCAAAAATCAAAAATCTAAATACATGGTTAGATTCAGCATATCAAAGAACCCCATATATTCAATTTTTGTTGAAATCAAACAAAGTTTAATTTTGGACCCCGATTTGGACCAACTTGAAAACTGGGCCCATAATCAAAAATCTAAATACATGTTTAGATTCAGCATATCAAAGAACCCTAAGAATTCAATTTTTGTTAAAATCAAACTAAGTTTAATTTTGGACCCTTTGGACCTTAATGTAGACCAATTTGAAAACGGAACCAAAAATTAAGAATCTAAATACACGGTTAGCTTCGGCATATCAAAGAACCCCAATAATTCAATTTTTGATGAAATCAAACAAAGTTTAATTTTGGACCCTTTGGACCTCAATGTGGACCAATTTAAAAACGGGGCCCAAAATCCAAAAACTAAATACACGGTTAGATTCAGCATATTAAAGAACCCCAAGAATTCAAGAATAAAACCCAATTGAAATTGGTCAAGAAATAAGCAATTTATACGAAGTATCTTCTTTTGCACAATACTGTGCAATTAAATATTTCTTGCTATTGCGCAATACTGTACAATTGACAATTTCTTGCTATTGCGCAATATTGTGCTATTGGATATTTCTTGCTATTGTGCAATACTGTGCAATTGAAGATTTCTTGCTATTGTGCAATACTGTGCAATTGAAGATTTCTTGTTATTGTGCAATACTGTGCAATTGAAAATTTCTTGCTATTGCACAATACTTATTATATAATAATTTACACTTCCTGTTTGGTGTGTATCTCCTATTATATCATTATTATTTGCTTTTAAATATAAATCAGAAATAACCAACTTAAAATGGAAAATTTTAAAAGAAAAAAAAAAGGAAAAAAAGAAAAAAAAGGAAAAAAAAAAATCCCCCCCAAATTTTTTGAACCCCCTTATGATTCATCATCCCCAAACTCAATCCCAGCCTTCCCTTTGTGGAGAGAGATCCATACACTTGAACACAAGTTATTGTCTGGAAACTAGAATAAAATGCTCCGCAGGGCGCAGCTTGATACTACCGCAGAGGTCGAACCCTGAACAGTTGGGGCAAGTATGGACACAACATTCAAGCTTGATACAGCTTTGCATTTGGATTGTGATTAAATATTTGACACAGCATAGGTTTCTGACACAGAATGAATGTGGTCTAAGAACTTAAAAATTTTAAATTGGACATTCGCCTATTATGGTCCAATATCCAAAATCTAAATACATGGTTAGATTCAGCATATCAAAGAACCCCATATATTCAATTTTTGTTGAAATCAAACAAAGTTTAATTTTGGACCCCGATTTGGACCAACTTGAAAACTGGGCCCATAATCAATAAAATGCTTCGCTGGGCGCAGCTTGATACGACCGCAGAGGTCGAACCCTGAACAGTTGGGGCAAGTATGGACACAACATTCAAGCTTGATACAGCTCTGAATTTGGATTGTGATTAAATATTTGACACAGCATAGGTTTCTGACACAGAAAGAATGTGGTCTAAGAACTTCAATTTTTTTAATTTACCTATTATGGTCCAATGTCCAAAATCAAAATACATGGTTAGATTCAGCATATCAAAGAACCCCATATATTCAATTTTTGTTGAAATCAAACAAAGTTTAATTTTGGACCCCAACTTGGACAAACTTGAAAACTGGTCCCATAATCAAAAATCTAAACACATGTTTAGATTCAGCATATCAAAGTACCCCAAGAATTCAATTTTTGTTAAAATCAAACTAAGTTTAATTTTGGACCCTTTGGACCTTAATGTAGACCAATTTAAAAAACGGGACCCAAAATTAAAAATCAAAAAACACGGTTAGATTTGGCATATCAAAGAACCCCAATAATTCAATTTTTGATGAAATCAAACAAAGTTTAATTTTGGACCCTTTTGACCACAATATGAACCAATTTGATAGCGGGCCTACAAAATAAAAAATCTAAATACATGGTAAGATTCAGCATATCAAAGAACCCCATATATTCAATTTTTGTTGAAATCAAACAAAGTTTAATTTTGGACCCTAATTTGGACCAACTTGAAAACTGGGCCAAAAATCTAAAATCTAAATACATGTTTAGATTCAGCATATCAAAGAACCCCATATATTCAATTTTTGTCGAAATCAAACAAAGTTTAATTTTGGACCCCAACTTGGACCAACTTGAAAACTGGGCCCATAATCAAAATTCTAAACACATGTTTAGATTCAGCATATCAAAGAACCCCAAGAATTCAATTTTTGTTAAAATCAAACTAAGTTTAATTTTGGACCCTTTGGACCTTAATGTAGACCAATTTAAAAACGGGACCCAAAATTAAAAATCTAAATACACGGTTAGATTTGGCATATCAAAGAACCCCAATAATTCAATTTTTGATGAAATTAAACAAAGTTTAATTTTGGACCCTTTTGACCTCAATATGAACCAATTTGATAGGGGGTCCACAAATAAAAAATCTAAATACATGGTTAGATTCAGCATATCAAAGAACCCCAAGAATTCAATTTTTGATGAAATCAAATAAAGTTTAATTTTGGACCCTTTTGAACTCAATGTGGACAAAGTTGATAACGGGGCCCAAAAATCAAAATACATGGTTAGATTCAGCATATCAAAGAACCCCATATATTCAATTTTTGTTGAAATCAAACAAAGTTTAATTTTGGACCCCAAGTTGGACCAACTTGAAAACTGGGCCAAAAATCTAAAATCTAAGTACATGTTTAGATTCAGCATATCAAAGAACCCCATATATTCAATTTTTGTTGAAATCAAACAAAGTTTAATTTTGGACCCTTTTGACCTCAATGTGGACAAAGTTGATAACGGGGCCCAAAAATCAAAAATCTAAATACATGGTTAGATTCAGCATATCAAAGAACCCCATATATTCAATTTTTGTTGAAATCAAACAAAGTTTAATTTTGGACCCCGATTTGGACCAACTTGAAAAATGGGCCCATAATCAAAAATCTAAATACATGTTTAGATTCAGCATATCAAAGAACCCTAAAAATTCAATTTTTGTTAAAATCAAACTAAGTTTAATTTTGGACCCTTTTGACCTTAATGTAGACCAATTTGAAAACAGAACCAAAAATTAAGAATCTAAATACACGGTTAGATTCGGCATATCAAAGAACCCCAATAATTCAATTTTTGATGAAATCGAACAAAGTTAAATTTTGGACCCTTTGGACCTCAATGTGGACCAATTTAAAAACGGGGCCCAAAATCCAAAAACTTAATACAAGGTTAGATTCAGCATATTAAAGAACCCCAAGAATTCAAGAATAAAACCCCATTGAAATTGATCAAGAAATAAGCAATTTATACGAAGTATCTTCTTTTGCACAATACTGTGCAATTGAATATTTCTTGCTATTGTGCAATACTGTACAATTGACAATTTCTTGCTATTGCGCAATATTGTGCTATTGGATATTTCTTGCTATTGCGCAATACTGTGCAATTGAAGATTTCTTGCTATTGCGCAATACTGTGCAATTGAAGATTTCTTGCAATTGTGCAATACTGTGCAATTGAAAATTTCTTGCTATTGCACAATACTTATTATATAATAATTTACACATCCTGTTTGGTGTGTATCTCCTACCATATCATTATTATTTGCTTTTAAATATTAATCAGAAATAACCAACTTAAAATGGAAAATTTTAAAAGAAAATTTAAGGAAAAAAAGAAAAAAAAAGAAAAAAAAAAAATCCCCCCCCCCCCAAATTTTTTGAACCCCCTTATGATTCATCACCCCCAAACTCAATCCCAGCCTTCCCTTTGTGGTATGGTACCTTGCAGTACAATTTCAGAGAGATCCATACACTTGAACACAAGTTATTGTCTGGAAACTAGAAAAATGCTTATTTTTGGCCCCTTTTTGGCCCCCAATTCCTAAACGTTTCAGGCAATTACCCCCAAACTCAATTCCAGCTTTCCCTTTGTGATATGGAACCTTGTAGTACAATTTCAGAAATATCCAAACACTTACACACAAGTTATTGTCATGAAACTAGAAAAATGCTTGTTTTTTGCCCCTTTTTTGGCCCCTAATTCCTAAAATTTTGAGGCAATTACCCCCAAAATCAATTACAGCCTTCCCTTTGTGATATGGAACCTTGTGGTACAATGTCAGAGAGATCCATACACTTACACACAAGTTATTGTCTGGAAGTTACAAAAATGCTTATTTTTGGCCCCTTTTTGGCCCCTAATTCCTTAACTGTTGGTACCATAACCCCCAAAATCAATCCCAACCTTCCTTTCGTGGTATTGAACCTTATGGTAAAATTTCATGGAGATCCATTCACTTAAACTAAAGTTAGAGTGCGAAAACCAATGTGTCTTCGGACGACGCCGGACGACGCCAGACGACGACGACGACGACGA